ATGAAGGGGAGGAGAGGATTCTGGTGGTTGAATGGTGTCTGGGGTACTGCACTTTGACCTTGAATTCCTGTAGACGGGTGGCCTTGGGGTGGCCCCCACCAGGGTCAATAGGCTGGTCCACTTGGGCTAGGGTCAACTGAGTACCAGTGTTTGGCATTCTCAACGTGTGTTGTGGACATTGTATCTGATGCTGGTGTTTTGGTATAGTGTTCATGAAACCCTGACGTTGCTGCAGTGTCCTTGTTTGACATTGTCGTGCATCCTCTTGTAGGACTCCATGGCAGGTGGGGTCAGTGGGCACTGAATCCTTTTTCTTAATTAAGGATCCCCCCAATCCAAATGAAAAAATGTTAAACACTCTGCTTATTGATAAACTTGATCCTCTGAACTTGATCCTGCCTTCGTCTGTGTCATCAATAGATGACTGTGTGGTTGCAGTAACTGACTGTATTGTCCAGGCTGCAGCTCATCTTATTCCTAAGACCTCGACACGTTTTTCATGATATCCTCATCCATTGTGGAGTCCTGCCTGCCAGAATGCATGGAAGGCTCAAAAACGGGCCTGGGATACCTTCCGACGGTATCCCTCTATTTCTAACTGCATTGTTTATCAGTGGGCCCGTGCCTGGCAGGTTCGATGTCAGTGCTAAAAGGAATCTTGGATTAAATTCACTACTAGCATCTCTTCTAGGAGGAATAGGCCAACTGGATGAAACATCAGATCCAATAGGTCAGGGTAATCGGGGAAAGATCACAGGAAGAGGAAGGTTACCAAGGGATAAAAAGGTAGGGATGAAGACCCTGGAAGGAAGCCATGTGAGCAATATAACAATGGAGGGCACGGACACGAGGATTTCGGTAACTAGCGAGTGAGGTTTTGGATGTAGTTGACGTAACAAGTATATTCTTTCATGTTGTATATGCAGGTGAGGATTTAGGGGGGGGGCTCCACAGATTTTTTTCAGAAATCAATAACTATTATCTAATATTGTATAAGTAGGCACTGATCTAGATGGTCTGACCCCCTTAATTTGTTAAATGAATTAATAAAAAATAGCCAGACATCATTACACTACCATATAGCATCAAGAAAGAAACATTAAATGTCAATCTTTTTATTTGATTGTACAATTAATTACCATAAAAGCTCTCTTTTTTTTTTTAGTTTTTTTTTAAATCAACACAACTTGAGTCTATAGCAGTTCATTTAATAATAACTTATTTCTCAGTTCATACAATATGAACATCAGTTAAACATTGCCTTGGCTTTTCACAGACATCTCTAACAATATATTTAGACTTTTTCATCAAAGTTAGTATTGTTTCAGACACCTGCAATTCTTGTAACATAGGCTTATAATAGAATCAATTTTTCATTGTTTAGGCCTTAGAAGTTAAATTCTCAGGTGAAAGATGTTTTGCTTATTGTTGATGTCTAAAAAGTTTGAAATGTTTGTTTCTAACAGTTTCTAATTTCATATCAATAACATTACTATCAATAAAGATATAACCTTTGAAATCACTGGATCATAACCTGACTGAACTAATCACTCACAGAATACATTAACATTATTTTAACTTTGAGTTATTAAGGTTACTTTAGGTCTGTATGGTCAACATTGGTAAATTCCAAAATATGTTGTTAAAGTGAAAGTCTCCTCTTTCATATAATAAATACTGGAACTTGGTTACACTACTAACATCTAAACAATTTACTTATATATCATATCATTATAAAAATGAAAATTACTGCAGCTAAAGTGGAGAAGTTAAAAATTGTTGTAACTTGTTAACCCAGTAATACTATATTATCTAAGTAGGCTTTCTAATTTTATTCTTATTCATTCCCTAATGGATTTCAAACTTTGTAAGATAAAGTTATAATTATCTGAAGTTTTATTTTACAAAATAATTGATGTTCTAATTTTTGTATTGTTTGATTTGGAATTTAGACTACTTGAAAAATATCAAAATACACTGGGTCTATACTTTGGATAAGTACTCCGTTAATAAAAAAATTAGTTATGATTATTCATTTCCCATGTTAGATACAAAGTGATTGAGTAACAGTGTAGATATTGATAGAACATTTAAGTAAAATTATACTGAATTGTCTGGAATAACAAGTGTGGAAAAGTGTACACAGTATTGTTGTAACAGGTGATTGATAAGTAAATAAATCTTTTATTGTTTCTAAACAGTGCAGTTGAGTTTCCTGAATGTTACATTTTCATGTACAAAGTTGAGGTGTTAAAGAGAAATTGAATTCATAATTATTGTACCTGAAGTCTGAAGACAGGGTTTTCTCTGGTTTTTCATATGCCTTTGCTACTTCATAAAATTTGTTCATTCACAAATTTTAGTCAATTTTATATGCTAGTTCTAATTATATTTCAACAATTTTAATTCTGAAATATTTTCAAATCTATTTTATCATTTTCTGACATTTATTGTAAACTCATGACATAAAGTTTATATTTTCATTTTAACATAGCTTCAGAGTTTTGACTGTAAACAAAAAAATCCACTTGTCAATTTTTTTTAGAATTTTGCTACCCATCCCCAAGAATAACTTTATTTTTGCTAAGAACTTACCATCCCTTAAGAATATATTATACACATCTTGATTTTTTATGTTTCATTTAGTTTTTGTATAGGGTTTGGTTGAAACTTTTTTACAGAGGCACATCAAGTGGTTTCATCATTTACTAATTAAACACAACTTTGAAAACAGCTATAGAGAAAGTTTAAATATTATTGGTTAGAGTATGAATTAGACTATTTTGTAGTAGTAGAAACGATATATAGGTTTAACAGTTTTTTAAAGTTTCTGCAAATTTTACTTTCAGATCCATTCGTTTGTGAATTGTGAAAGTATTTGTGTGTTAAATCATATCTGAAAGCTATAGAAAATTTTTTCAATGAGAAGAGATCAAATAACTTGAGATAAGGCAAGCTCATACCATTTAGAGGCTAGTTGAATGGGTTGCAAAGAAAATTATTAAAAGTTTAACACAGTAACAATAAAGAATGACATTTTTTGGCATAATAATAAGTAAAATTATTTAATATAACCACTTAGCCAACTAGTTTTGGTAAACGTGTTAGCATCATCAGGGCAAAATTCTACCTGATGATGGTAACACGTTTACTGAAACTAGTTGGCTGTAAGTTATATCACATAATTTTACTTATCATTGTGCCAAAAATGTAGTTTTTTGTAATTGTTACTCTTAATATACCAGCACAATGTGCCTTAAAAAGAATTACAGTAACAGATGTACAGTGTTTGCATTTTTAAACATGAGATTTTTTTATGTTCATAAAATAAAATCATCATCAAATCGACTAGGTTTAATTAAGATTACTGTTCAGTGAATAAAGTAGATAATTAAAAAATGTATTGATGACTCAAATCTTTATTTAATATTGTCTTTTTATCTTATTCAAACAATATACATAAATAAATTGGCTAAGTGGCTACTTAATTATTTCTTATTGAAATCATGTTTTAAATAACTTTATTCTTATTAAATATTAAACAAAAATTTATTTTTCACAATTTTAATGCACAAGTTGTGACTTCTAGGGAACATAGAATAGTCATTTAATCAAATCTAACCAATTAATAGGTACTACTAATAGTCCAGCTTTAATGTTAACTACAATTTCATGTTTACTAAGTGTATCTACATAAAATGTGACAAGCTTTTAGTAGTGTACATGTCTCTTGTACACAAAGAATCAGATGTGTTACAAAAGCATTTGTACTTAAGATACGTCTGTGAATTGCTAACTTCATTTTGACTCGAACTCTGTCAAGTTGGGGTACGAGGTGATATTCATGTGAACAATAAAAACATTTTTGTATATTGTACAGTTTGCATACTGTAATTTAAAAACCACTTAAGCCTCCAAAGTTAATATCTGCAGTTTCTTTCAGTATCCCTTTTTATTGTATCTGGTATTCACTGCTCAACCACATGGTCCTAAGTCAGCAGTTTTGGACAAAATGAGTAGTTGATAATTTGGATGTGAAATACACAATACCATGTTGAATGGCATGCTGTTAAATGTCATGGTATGTGCACTTTGATCCCCACCTGTGCATATAGAGTTAAGCGCATGGTATATCCCCATCTTGGAAGTTCAAAATCCACAATCTAAACACATCTTTATGATCTGAATGTATTAATATTTTGCATCAGAAAGAGCTGTTACCTACCCTACCTAGACGAAATAAATTGTATGTAGTATCACACTACCTACAAAATACCAAGCAATGTCAACATGTAGATGTGATATATGTTGTTTCAGTGGGACTTTATATCAGCTGTGATTGTCACATGATTTGCTGATTTTCTTAATCAAACTCTTTTTTTATCTAGCTTGTTGAAATATTCTTTTCACTATTTATTGATAGTGTTTATAGGCTTTTTATCCTCCAGTAAATCCAATAAAAAAAACCAACTACAGTCATAATATTACACAGGAGGTAAAAACCTATGAGAGTCATGAAGTCATGACTAATATATGTTTGCTGTTATTGATTATGAGTACATAAACATATAATTACCATTAAATTATCATTAGAGATAGCATTTCAGCTAGATACCAAATATCCAGCCAGATCTTTCAGTTGAACAGCTAAGTAGTTGGCCACCAAATAGTTGATATATATAGAGCTGAGTGCATTATATTGATGTTGTAAGACAATAACTTGCTATTTCAGTTAGTGGTACCAAAAATGTATTTAGATGTTGTCTGTATTGTCACAACTGTCTATATATAGTTTTTTTTTATATACAAATGTTGGTGCTTTGTTTTGTTCTGAAAAAAAGATGATGATCAATGAAATATCTGATAAAATACTTCTTACCATGATTTGCAGATGACATTTTTTTATGATTCAGTAAAGAACTTGTATTTGCTACTTTATGAAAATATGTCAGTTTTTATCTGTAACATACTTTAAGATTCCCTGTTGTTTCTAATTCCAGTTTGACTCAGGTGTACAGAGATTTATGTCCATGCGTGCCACCATGTATGATCATTTCCGTCCCACTCTAAAGGGTGGAATAATGTGGTTTAGTTTTGTCCTTTTTCCTATTATAGGATATGGCTATTTTCTGAACAAAAAAAGGGTGAGTATAAATGTGGTACTAATAATAAAGTATGTGAAACATAAAGCAGTAATAATTCCTTTATGCATTATCCTTTTTGTTATCTCCAATGTTGCCAAAAAGTTTTTGTTCAAAGTCATTTACTGTGTAGGATGTATAAATGCTCATCCAAAGCTTTGGCTTATCCTGATCATTTTTTTAACATGCAAAATAACCACATGTGTAACCCTATTTATTAATTTTTTATATTTACAAAAAATAAATCCTAAAGTGAATTTCAGAAATAGACATACAATCTGAAATGATAGAATAATTAGATTATTTCTTTTGTTTTCTTCATATTTGATACATTTTTCTGTTCATAAATGTATATATAATATATGTATATTAAATAAATTAAAACAACAAAAATAAGTAGATAAAAATGCTTTCTACACTCTTACTAAATAGATTTATTTTGCAACGTTTTGGCATTAGGCCTACTTCAGGCAAAGAACAAAATACAACTGACTAAGGTGGAGAATCATTTGGAAATAGAACATGTGCAGATTGTCATGGTCATAGTTTCAAGCTCTCTCTCTCTCGATGTTGATTATTGGCCATGGTTTCTATTATACATTTAGCCTAGGTTTTTGTATTGCAATTAAAATATTCTCAGCTATTGCTTGATCAGTTGCATTCTTTGCTCTGTACAAGATCTCCATTTTTAATGGTATCTCTGTCATTTGTTTACCTTTATGAACTGTCGTGAAGTGTGAACCAAGGGGAGTGTTACAGCCCTTGAGTGAACAGTTTCTTAGGTGTTAAAGAATTCTTTCACAAACAGTAAAGTAAGTTTCTCCATTGTATGAAGTTTCATAGATGTTACGCTGAAGCTTGTATACAACGTTTTTAACAGTAGATGAGTTTTTTAAACCTGAATTACATACTTTACAATTTTGATTACATCCAGGACGTAATATTTTTTATACACATTTGAATACCCAAAACAATGAAATCCAGTTTCACTTGAAACTTCACACACTCAAAATCATCTTAACTTCTACATGTTTTGATTACTATAGAGAATGATGGAAGTTTTTCTTGTGAACTATATTGGAAATCAATGCATAGTGGTGTATCTTTCAACTTTTCTTCTGCCCATTTTACTGTTTTAAAAGAATCAGTAGCTTATTCTCAACATATATATATGTATCCAACACCTTTCAACAAGCCAACGAAGTAACAACAAAAATAAAACTTTGCTTCATGCTAATAATTATCCTCAAGAATGTGGTAAAAAAAATGCTGAAGAAAACCAAACATTAAGAAATCTAAAAGTACGAAAGAAGAAAAACCTTTGTTATAGTTCCATTTATTTCAAAAGTTGTTAGTCATGAAGTTTGCAAAACAATTAGACAAAATAATATTGATGCACTTTTAATAGAGAAACCTGGGAAAAAATTAAAGGAATTATTAGTAAAATTACCACTAGAGCTTCAACAATGTCCTGGACATAATACAAATTGTAAAGTGTGTACTTCAGGTCTAAAAAACTCATATGCTGTTAAAAATGTTGTATACAAGCTTCAATAACATCTGTGAAGCTTCGTACATTGGAGAAACTTACTGTCTTATTTGTGAAAGAATTCTTGAACACCTAAGAAATTTCTCACACTGCCTGTAACACACCTCTTGGTTCACACTTTGCAACAGTTCATAAAGGTGAACAACTGCCAGAGATCCTACTAAAGGCAGAGATCTTATACAGAGCAAAGAATGCAACTGATTGAGCAATAGCTGAGAACATTTTAACTGACATATAAAAACCAAGGCTAAACGTACAACAGAAACTGTGGCCAATAATCAACACCGAGAGCTTGAAACTACGACCATGACATTTTAATATGAATAATGTACTATATAAACATATACAATGTGTGTGAACATCTGTATTTTGTGCATGTGTGTGTATAGACACACACACACTGTAGTTTACTTAATATTTGTGGGAATTATCTTTCAGGGTCTTACATTGAAACTTATTTCATGGGCTTTAAGTTTCATGGAAAAATTAAATTGAAAATGCATCAATTGTTATTACATAAATTTAGAAAAATAGTTTTTAGACATCATTCTATTTTTCTAAGCAACATTTTTCATACTATAAACCTTTGCAATCATGCTGTGCATCTGAACTGACGTGTTGGTAATCCACTTATTGAAAGTTCTGCAGGTACTTCACTGACTACGTCTTCTCAGTGTTTGCTGTTTCCGGATTACAAGCTATTATCTGCGTATTGAGAAAAGCTACTCAAATGGCTTGGCAGATTAAATTTACTTTCAATTTTCTAGCAATAACAAACAATGAACAGTCACAACTTCATTACGTACCCCTCTCAAAATGTCTTTGTGGAAATGGATATCAAGCAGGTTTCCAATGATTATCATTTGCATGTTCCCATTGAGTGTTGTGTGTAAAAAGACTTGTTGTTTTTAATTGACTCGTACATGTCACTTACATAGTGCTGTGCTTCATGAATGTGCTAAAGAATAAAGAATATTTACTTGTATATATCTGTTTGGGTTTCATTTATCACTCATAGAGGCTTTTTATTTTGCTGGAATTATCGTTCATGGAAACATGTGTACCATGAAAATAGTGAAAGTTAATTTCCACGTGAATAATAAGTAATTTACAGTATATGTTATACTTTTTGTATTATACTTTGCTAACAATGTGTTATTTATATTTTTTTCATATTACGGATCTTCTCATTCTACACCTGCATGTCCTGTGTTTATGTTCTAATTACAACTGATTCTCCACCTTAGTCAGTTGTATTTTGTGCTTTGCCTGAAGTGGGCCTAAGGCCAAAATGTTGCAAAATAAACCCATTTAGTAATAGTGTAGAAAGCATTTTTATTACTTCTTTTCATTGTTTTAATTATATTAATGAATTCCACTGTTAAAAGAGCACTATATTTGATTGGTAAGGTAATGTGTGTGTATATATGTGTTAAATTTAGTTATTGAAATGCACTTCATCAATGACAAAGGCAAACCAAGAAACATGTTTCTTTGAAGCTAAAATACACAATTTTGGATAAAATATACAGGAAACTTAAAAACTGAAGAACACAAACCTATATAGAAAAGCAAAAAAAGTAGTAAATTTGCAGTAAAAAAATTTCTGTTAGTGTATAAGCTTTCTAGATATTATTTTCGATATTAACAACTTTTAAATAGTACAAAATGTTGTGAATACTGTTGTCTTGCATTCTGTCAATAATTATTTTTCACTCTATCTGTCTGATACAAACTAAAAGGGAAGTCAGTGATGTCTTATTTTTATGTAGACATAAAATAACTACAGTATATGAAATAACAATAACACTAAGCACACTTATATACAACATAGATTTTACTGTAAATTAAATTTAATACATTGATCTAAAGTGTAGATTCCTATAGAAAAATTTGAAAATTTCCTGCTGAGAACTGAATCCGAGTTTTTTTTATCACATGGATTTCATCTTATTTTTGGTTGACTTGATACTTTTGAAAGTGAAGATTTTGTTCTTGTTTTATGACTAAAACCTTTCAGTCATCTAGAATATTAAGCTCAGCTTTGAATCATCATAGTATTATAAGAAGGATATTGTTGATTTGCTAGAATAATTTCTGGTTTAAGCACTAGATCTGTGTGATTAATTCAAGATAACAAATTACCTATAAGCATCAGTTATGTGGATTAGTGTAATGTAAAATATTTTGATCAATTGAAATTAGAATGAAGTGGATTAATGTCAAGAAAATAATGAACTAACCAAAATTAGGTTTCTGTTTATCATTGTTATCAGTTATTTCAAGTCTTGTGAAAATAATTGATTAGTTGAACGAAATCAATTAGAGTCAGACAATTACTCAATTAGCAAATTCCATTAATTGCCTAGCCCAATTAAGTACTTGATTTCATATCTTGTGGAACATAAAAAATAGAAAGTTATTATGTTTTTCATGACAGGAGATTGGAAAAACTACATTTTAAGTTTTTTTATTTAACATGGGGAATAATGACTTCATTGTCAGAAACTAGTACAAGCTTTGCAACTTGTTGTAGTTTTGTTCTTAGATTAATTTAATACTCCCTCTATATGAATAGTTTAGCAGAGAATGAGTTTGTGAACAAAAAAGGTTACGTTTATGTTTGTTATATATAGACTAACTGCCTTCTGTCTTCCACTTACTTGTAAGATGTATGTTTGTATGTAATAGGAGCTAAGTGATTGGCTGAACACATACAGGTTTGTTTCTGAGATTTGACAAAGCTACAAAATAAGTTGATGAGTTCTAACTTCAAATATAATGTGCTATGTATAGGATGTAAAAATGGTGGGTCTCCTATTGGAAAAGTTTCTTATTGATTAAAGTGATTGGCACCAACAGCTTTTTATATTTATCCCTAAATTTTGTCACTTTTTTTCAAAACCCATACTTGTAAATAAATTAAGAATTGTACTGTTTCTACTTATGCAGAGAGAATTTGATGAGAAGTGTCGACGAGGAGAAATTGCTTACAAGGACCGACTGTTTAAGTTCATTTAAGTTCAGTAATATCAGTAGCTGTAGTATGAAAATTCACAGTGTATAATATTAGTATAAATATAATACAAAATTTCACAGTTTATGTGGTGGTGAGAAACTTGGTTTTTGTTTTTATTTAAAGTATGGAAGTTCATGTAGATTATTACTGCTTTTCCTTTTAAAATTTTGACTAAAACTGATTACAATCATACTATTATTTCTATTCTGACTGCTTAAGGAACTTGTTTTTTTCAACAGAAATTAGAAGTAAATTTCATCATTCCCCCTTTTTTTGTGGGGAGGAAAGTAACTAAAATATGTCAAATACTTGTCTTTTAACCAGTGTATATTTAACGTTTTTTTTAATTATTTGAGACCAGCAAACATTTTCAGAAGCCAAAGCTCTTAAGTACTTACTTTGGCATGTGTGTAAAAAAACAACAAAATCTGGATCTGTGGTGTAAATCTTTTATTTCTTGAACAAGAAGTTCCAGTAATTTCAAAAAAGTAGAAATGGTAAGCTTTCACAGTACTAAAACAAAAGTTAATGAGCTATTTGTAGACTCTCTGATATTTTATTACCTAAGGCTTTAATCTTTTGGCACCAACTTGTTCATATAGCCCAACACTTCACTTTACATATTACTCAAGTTCTATCATATCATTGATATTCATTTATATCCTACTACTGGATGACTTGCATTTTTTCAGATTGAGCGATTATTATTATGAAATTAAAGACAATGTCACTACTGAAGACGAGTGGAAAAATATTTCATGAAATAATTTTATTTTTACAGTTTCACAATATATATAAAAACAGTTCTTACTTTATGAAATTTTATTATTGTTCTTTATTTTCTAAGAAATCACTTTTGACAATTTCTTCATTTTAATTTTTGCACAGTAATTAGATTACAAAGTAAATATGGGAGTTTTTCATTATTACTGGTGTTTATAACAAGATAAATCCTCTTAACAAAGAAAATGTTCCACAGACATTGTTCTTTGTTTTGTGCTGTACATATGGGTAGTTGGAGTAGAGTGCATATTAAACTGAAGTCTACTGTACTGATCATTATGACATAATCAGCAGTAAGTGAGAAATTCCACAAATTATATTAAGTCTTAACACTTTTCAGCTGAAAAAAGGTATTAACTCAAGAATTTAGAAATGTAGAATAAGTTTTTTATAAATTTTATAAGGCTAAATATTTAGTAAAAGGTCAAGGTGAATGCACTCATGAGATATCTGATTGCAAGAATTAGACCAAACAATTAAGGAACTTGTAAGCTAATCCATAATACAATGCTATAACACAAACATTATAAAGTATTACAAACACTATACTGAGCTCTTATTCTGAGGGCCACAAGTTATTGAAATTTAAGATGATGAAGGCATATATTGGAAAGTTGTGTCACACATCATGAAACCCATGAAATATCCAAGAATTCCTCTACAAAATTGTGTTGTAATTTGAATGAAAAACTGTTGCTTCAGTATTTTCTTGTACAAAATGTTCAATATAAATGCAAATTTATGAGCTTTAATTGCATTTTTACTTTAAAAGACTAGTCCAATTCAACCTGTAATAAAAGGACTAAATTTTCACAGGTAATTATTTACTAGGCCCTATGGACTTGTTACTTCATCTGTACCACATTGAATATCTTTCTTCTGTGTCTGACCATCAGAATATACACCATTCACTATAAGATTCACAAATCAAATCAGTAATACAGAGTAAATTAACAAATCTATAAAAAAAGGTAAATACAAAGTGATTAAAACCTAGTCTCTAGTTTATATTATTCCAAATAAATTACAAAGTAAAACTTGCTACAGAATAGATAATTTTTTTAAGCAATCTGTAACTGGTTAACAATAAAAAATAAAGATATATCTGTAATTTAATCTCTTAAACTATGCTAAGTTACAGTAGTACTAATCTACCACACATTTAGCTATTTGTTTACTACCTTAGTCTTTTTCATTAAAGTTTCAATTCAATAATTAAAAATTACCTTTAAATTTTTGTTCATGTTCTTCTAGATATTTCAGAGTAAGATCATCAGCTTTAGTTATAATGAATTGTCTACCAGCAGCACTCACAGATGCTCCTAAATGGAAATCTTGGATACTGTAGTACTCGGGGCTATTAGGATTGCTATTTGGTTTAGCAATCTGCATTCTCCGAAGGAACTTTCCACCTAGTAAACCAGAGTTCCTAATTGGTCTTTCGTAGATGGAGATTGTGTCATCAGCTAGATGATAAGAGATGATAAACTTGCGACTTTGGTCAATAGGCCATACAGAATTCTATAATCCAAAAATGTTTAGATACTTTAACATACATAATCATATATCCAAAATGGCAACAAACTAAGATGAGTTAATGTACAAAATATAATATTGAAAAATATAAAGTAAAAGGCTTTAACAAATAACCTTCTATGATGTCAAAAAAGTAAAGATATCTTAATATACACACTACAAACATATAAAAGAAAACATGCTAATTCGCTATACAAATACTAGTAGGTCCAAAAAATGAAACAGTCCAAGAAGTGCTACATAGCTAATCCTAATGTGAAAACATCAGCAACAAAGAGACTGGTGCCTCAATAGCCAAATGTCGGCATGCCTACATAAGAAACAGGTCAAAACACCCTAACCATAGTGTATCAAAATAATGAGAACAGGCTTAGATGTCACACATATAGAATTTAAGTATGCTCAAAAAAGGAATCTAGCTAAAATACCTTAAAGTGCTATCCAATTAGTCAAAAAAAATAAACAGACTAACTGCATTTAAGATAGTTTTCATACAGAGTCTTACGATGACCCCCCAACAAAAAACAAAACTGGCTAATAAGCATAACAAACAGAATCGTGTAAGTAGGATTACAATTATATTTGTCACAAGACATTAGTATTAGGCCTACTAGATTTTTAATCATGTCCCTTAGGGATTTTCAAGAATTATGACATGTTTTGCTCAATCCAGAGCTCTTTAGGCTGGCTGGGATACAACAAAGACAGCAGTGATTGGAACATTATTTTGTATAAATATGTTCTGATATGACTAAAGAAAGAAACAGTGTGAGATATTTTGCATTGGGAATCCTAGCAATTCAAAAAGAAGTAGGCTAACCTGCAAAATTCAAATGTGTGTTTAAAAACAGAAAACTGGTTAAGATATTTTAATGTGTACAATACAGTTTGTCAAGAAAAACTATAAAAAAACTGACTACATGTTATAACATGGAGAAATGTACAGTATCCAAAAAGAAAAAGGTTAAGAAGCTTCGCAAACAAAAATCACAATAGGTCCAAAAATGAAGTGGCTAAATTGATTTACTTGCATAGTCCAAAGGCCCAAAGAGGAAAAAGGATAAATGTGTTAGTATGTACCAAAAAAAAACGAAAATGGCAAAAATGCTTTAATATATGACATTATATATACATACAAATATTTCTAACATGAAAACAATATACGATGTTTAATCTACACAATTCTGTTAAGTCCAAATAGATAAATATTTTAACATAAAATCTTAATGTGTCAAAAAACACAAGTAGACTATAATACTTTAACATAGAGAATTCTGAGAATAGCATAAATAGACAGGCTAAAACACTTTACCCTAAAGAATTCTAGAAACTGTAAAAAAGAAACAGGCTAAATGGCTTTAAAATACAACATCAACAATGCCTTATAAAACACAGACTAAGATGCTTTAAATACAAAATCTTGTTGCTTCCAAAAATATATTTTGTAGAGAGAGAATTAAAGTATGTCCAAAAGAGAAACTAGCTAAGATGGTTTAATTTCCACAACTGTGATAGTATGTACAATAACAAAAAAGGATGCTTTAAACTACAGAATCCCAGTATGTTAAAAAATGAAATAGGCTAAGATACTTTAAAGTTTAAAATTCTAACATACAAAAGAAAAACAGAGAAAGATACTTTATGTACAGATTCTAGTGTAGCCAAAAAATAACAAATGATTACTGGTTGATGTTTACAAAGAGAAAACATATAATTTCCCAAAATACAAATAAGTTTAAAGTATTAACATAAAGAATGCCTTATAAAATACCTTTAGATACAGAATCCTAGTACATCCAAGAAGGAAATAGGCTAATAATTTATACAAACAGAACCCTAGCAGTTTCATGACACTCTAGATATATAATATGTTAAAAAAAAACATGTTATGATGCTGCTACCATATACGTAATCCCAGTATATCCAAAAATGAAATAGGCTAAGGATACCATAACATGTAGATCCAAAGAAGTCTGAAAATTTGTTTGTTTGTAGTTAAGCACAAAGCTACACAATGGCCTATCTGTGCTCTAAAGTCTAAAAAAACAAAACAAAAACATAGGCAAAGAAACTGGTTAAGATGCTTTGCATAACGAATCATAGTGTGCTAAAAAAAGAAAGGGACTAGGATACTTTATACAAAGAATCCTGTATTTCAAAAAAAAAAAAGAACCCGGATAAAATACATTAAATATGGAATCCTAGTAAGTCAAAAAACTGATTATAATACTTAAAACATACAGAAATCTAGTATGCTAAAAAAGTTACTCTTGTATGTCAAGAAAAAAAGTAAGATGCTTTATGTAGGTATGAAAGAATTATCCAAGAAAGATGCTAAGATTCTTAAACAATATGTCCAAAGAAAAACAGATGAAGATGCTTCAAATACAGAATTATCCAAGAAAGATGCTAACATTCTTATACAATATGTCCAAAAAAATCAACAAAGATGCTTCATATATAGTATGAACAAAAATAAATCAGCTGAATAATTTATAGAATTGTAGAATATTAAATGTAAAAACTTCCCATTCACACACAAAAAAAAAGAAACTGACTAAACTGCTTTTCAAAAATAGAAACTGGTTGACATGGTCTACAAGAATAATTCGAATTTATTCAAAATAAGAACAAGCTAAGGTGGTGCTATAGTATAAAGAATCATATGTCCAAAATAGAAATAAGACTGATTTAAGCTGTTTTATACCTCCTTAATACCTTTTTAGAATATAATTGTTTCAGAAGTGTAATGGAATTTAAAGTCCAATATTATCTTTAATGGGTCAGTGAATGTGCAAGTTTATAATAACTGTTTTTCAGCCATATGATATCACAACAGTTAAGAGAAAACTGAGAATATATATTTAGTATGTGCTGAAGAAGAAAAATAACTTAAGTGCATACTACTTGAGTAAAAACTTATAATAAAATGCACCAAAACTGCTTCAAATCTGAGAACTTTTCCATCATTCAGTAACATTTTCACAATGTTTTTTTTTGGTGGCTGAGGTACCAAAGAAAAACAGGATTGTAGGGAATCTTCCAGTGATCCAAATCCATTGTATGGTGGAGTTTCCTGAGAGAGAGTGTGTGTAGGTATGGGTCACTTAAATTTTCTGTTACATTTCTATGAAAACAACACTTACAATCATGTGGTTAATATTTTAGTAAACATATTTAGATGAAAAATAACTCACTTGGATTTTACAGTCTTTAATTTTACAAGCATCCTAAGAGAAAGGAAAACCACTTTGATGACAATATCAAATGGAACAAAGACCTACTTTCTTCTCAGCTTCTTAGTTATTTGGTGTTAAAGTTCAAATAATTAAATATGTATTGTAGCGAAAAGACAATTTCACAAACAAATTTACTATTTTCAAACAAAAAACACAAGTTCTAATTATTTCTAGAAATTTCTTTAGTTTAATTATAAAGAGAAATTGTTAGAAATCAATTTAATGAAGTCTAGTTTTATATGATGATCTTATTAAAAAGATATTGAAAAAAGTGGTATGATTAACAGTTGAATTTTAACACATTCTTAAATCTTAGTTGACTAATTATACTTGTAGCAGTATCCTTTGGTTTTATTCTCGATCATAGTTAGATTACAGAAATCCAATATTTCATTCAATGCTGAATGCCTCCTAAATAGCAAATATCTTTAAAATGTTCATATCTGGATTGTTTGTAAAAATTAATTTTGAAGTTTCAACTTAATTAAATCCAAAAGTTATATTTTATTACTTACAATTTTTTTTAAAGTAACGGGCTCAGTCTTAATGTCAATAGGATGAAAATCTTCTATACCAAATTTGGCCTTGTAATAATTCTTGGTAAACTCATCACAATCATATAGCAGGAAATTTCGTCCATATATTTGTATAGTTTTTCCTACAGCAAAATCTGAGTCATTGAACCAATTATCAGTCTCTGTTTCACTTGGTTCCATGGAAGCAATAGGAAACAATGCTGTAAAACAAAAACTTCATTCAAACTCATACAATAAAAATCCACCCCCTTTCTTAAGAAAGTAATAAATGAAGATCCTTTCAGATAATTACCTGAGAATGTAAAAGTTACAAGCCAGATTATAAATAACAAATAAAAAGGGAAGTAAGCTTACAAGTAGATGGAAGTTAGTTAACAACTACAACTAGAATAATTATTTGCTACAAATAAAAAGGAAAGAGAAAAGGTAGAATAAAAACTAATTAAAAGAAAAATTTATGGATATTTAAAACACAACTAATTTTTTTTAATAAAATAAAATGAAGAATATAAACAGTAAGGAAAAACTTTTCTGGCTATCCAGGATCAAGAACAGACTTGAAAATCTAGGACAAATTTTCAGTTTTTCAAAAGCATTAACAATTTCTTTTTAAACTGTGTATGTGTTTCACTTTATTGTTGTTTAATATTGCTTATCTTTTTTACATCATAAACATCCTAAAATTTTTTATTTTGGTTAGCTTGTGTTATAAATGTTGTTCTAGACAAATCACTACTTTGGTTAATAGTGTTTAGCTGTCCTACATTCACTGTTAAGTTTATTTCTTCTTTCATTATGAATTAATGAAAACTTGTACTGTGTTTAATTATGAAGAACTTTGATATGCAGTAATAATAACAACAATAACAAAAACTTGTTAAAAAAAAGAAGTAAAGTGTTATAGTAATTGTTATCACAAACAAACCACCAATGTCAAGAATAAGAGTTTAATCTTATATTGTTGTTGTTGTTGCTTTAACACAAAGCTACATAATAGGCTATATACACTTTGCTCACAGTGGGGTAGAAAATCCAAGATTTTAATTTTGTAAGTCTGTAAACTTACTGTTAAACCTCTGGCAGATTAATTTTGTTACAATTACAGAAAAAAAGTTACAAGATTAATTTATTTTTCACTGTTAATAAAATGCCATAAAGATGATATTATAATAGTGACAAACACTATGTACAACATTAATGTTTAAATTTTTTTTTAATTCTATTGAAAGTATACTTGATGCAATGTTCTGTAACTGTTAAAAAGTGTTTATATAAGAAACTATTACATGTATATGAATAACTAAAACTTTGGATGAATTTTACTTGAAAATGCTTAACTGCTTCTATACATCAGTTATTAATTTTTAAATAGCATTCCATGAATTGAGAATAGAAGTTCTGTGAAGTTGGCTGAAAAATAATGGATCATTATCATAGTGATGAAAGACAAAGACTCATTTAACACAAGGTATTAAAATACCAAATAACCAAACAGTGACTTATAATTTCTTGTAAAGTGTAATGAAACAAAATATTTCACTTTACTTTATGCATCACATATTATCAAGTAGTCATTTAATTTGTTAATGTAGTAACAAACAGAATTAAAAAATATCAACATATATGTCTCATGAATAACAAAATTATAAAAATTACCATGCTGAGTTCTAAAGACATTAATTTGGTTCAAACATAATGTATAATGAAGTTAAACCACAATACTTGAAACCTTGTGAAAGTCATTGTATTCATTATCATTACTTTAGAATACAAGATACTAAAAAATAAAACCTTATGTTAACTAAATGACAGAAATTATCCAATGGTGAACTAATGGATTACAAACACAGTGAACAAACTTGGTATAAAATGGGATTACTTTCATCTGTTGTATGAAAATTAACTGCATTACAGCATGGTCACATGTTGATATTTTCCATTGTGATTAACTATCATTCAACCACTCAGACCATGTCACACCAGCATAATGCCTATAAAAGTACAGCCAATCATATTATTCCCACCATTAGTGTGGCGAATGCACTCATGATTCCTAAGACAGGAAAGACACATAGTGAAGGCCATTTCATGCAACAGATTGAGCTAAAATTTCACATTTCTGTAGAAGCTATAAGGAAACTCTGATGATCGATGGTATATGAAACTAATGCCAGTTATAATAGTATGGTTGAGGCAGAAAGCCTAATCTCTTAGTGATGTTAATTAGCTTCAGCTATGTTCTTTACATGATACATCACAATCCAGTATAGATCCTTCCAATGGATTAGCTGTAAGACTGAAATAGACATCAGACTTTAAACAATTGGATAAGCAATGCTAGAGGAGGGTGTTCTTTAAAGATGAATCCAAATTCAAATTGTTTGGCAACAACCAGCAATAGTTTGTTTGACAGCATAGAGGAAAACAGTATCATAGTCAATGTTCAACATTTACAGTGAAGTTGTTAGGGAACCACTGTAAATGTAGGATGCATCTGAACAAACAGAGTTGGAAATTTACATACAACTGATATTACTGTGACTGTTGATAGGCACAAACAGATTCATTATGTCATTCAATAATTATACTTGTCATAAGACATTATGTTAAGCCTATTACATTGTTATGTCTCTGGTCATTAGTTAATTAATCGTAAAAAATTGATTCTGAAGAACTTAGCGATACAAGTCCTTTCTCAAATAAAACTAGTTTATTCTTTCTCAATTCAACTTTTCAATACACTTAATTTCCACAGTCCCTTTAACTTAAACACACGATATAATTCTCAACGAACAATTCACGCACTTTACTTACTACCGCGCTTGACTCAATTGTCCGTCTATATCTTCAATCTTTCTGTCTGCTATTCAATTGTTGCTGTCACTTTATTTGCCGGCTTATATACTATAAGAGCGCCATTCTAGCAACCGGTAGAACGTTTGACAAGTTCCTCAATCTGCTTCACGTAAAGTTCATCTGCTCCATCAGGAAATGTCCTATTATCGCTAATAGTCCCATCAGTGGTAGTAACTTCATCAAGGGCTTCACTGTTTCCCTTCTCAAAACCGATTAGAGTTTCTTCTTTGACAGTGGCTTTTCCAGGTGACACGTCTTCAGCAGCATCTTTTGTTCTGTTGTTCACTTCATCCTAACTGAAATGTCCTGAACCGTGGTAATGCCAAAGCCTGTTGGCATGCACCACCTTTGGCTTACCTCACCGACCACATTTTATTCGGAAAGTCACGTCTGAGAGATGATCCACTATGCAGCACAACTTTCCGTAACTTTTTCGGTATTACTGTTTGCCAGGTCATCACTTTCTTATCTACAGTTCCCATCTCCGAACAAGAATACCATCTTCAAGCTTCAACTGGTCCCATTGTGCCCAGTAGTTCTTTGTCACAGGGCTTAAGCTAGACACCGTCTCCCAAGCAGGGCGCAAAACACTTGCTTTTAGAAAATCAATTATTGGCTTCAAATCTTGATCTTTCTCCTGCTCTGCTTTAATATCTATACCTGATTCCACTTCACCATCTCCTTCAGTCACTTTGACTTCAGCTTGATGGCACCTGGTTAGTTCAACCTCTCTTTTGACACTTACTGGAATTTGGCCTTTGTTGTTCCCAATCGTCATTTTATCAAAATTAATTACACACTTCCTCGGTAGTAAGTAGTCCAACCCTAGTATGCATGGGTCTTCAAT